ATAACCGTGTTTTGTACCACAAAACCTAAGTGGAAACCCTTTCCTTTCGAAGGTCTGTGTTCAGCACTGAACTTGTGATGGAATGGTATGTTAAAACATTATTGATTTTTTTTTGTAAAAACTACAAAACTCGACACAAGGAAATTTTTGTTTATTATTTAATATATTTATTCTCAATTAATATTTAAGCACATACATAACATATTGTTATTTATTAGCGATATCACACTTTGTGCTATTAGCGCCTTCACTTAGTGCCGTCGAAATCCAAAGAGTTTATTGAATGTCCAGTAAAATCGTCGATGCGCCGTTGAATACAGAATGATGATTCTGTTTTTACGCCGTTTCCACCAGTAGTTTTTGTCACAGAATGTATTTTCAAGAGAAATTAATTAATCATTTGAATTATAAAAGAACATTTTTTTTTATGGTAACAATTAAGTTTTTTGTATGAATGTAAGTGCTGTGAATATAAATAAACCCATAACGGGGGAAATGGAACAATATCTGGTAACCCAATGAAAGTACCTCCCGCCTATTTCTATCTCAAAAGCATACGCGAATGCTTTATCTATAGTCGTATTTTTAATTAGACGAAGTCAACTGACGTTTACTGTGTTGTCAGTTATTGATGAAATAAAAATAGTGTTGTGACAAAGTGAATGATTGAAAAACTCCTGAATTAATGAAATTGCCTCGATTGTCTAGTGAATAGTTAGTCTGCTGAACTGCCGATATCGGGTACGGGGTTCGAATTTTAGTCGTGCTTTGTACATACCAACGAGTTTTCGACGACTATGTTCCTATAATATCTACCTATACTGAATACCGAGTGTTTTAAACATTAAGGAAAATATTGCGAGGAAACTTGTAAGACTGTCCTATTTTCAATACATCATGTAGTTGAAACTATAGATGTATAAAATATAACAATTATAGGTAGGTAATGAGAATAAAAAAAATCGCTTATTACATAATTTGTTTTTATTCATTATCAGATAAAAAATCATCACTATCGCTTTCGGTGACATTAATTAAAAATCTGTCAGTAACATTGTCAATTATGTGGTCGAGACCATACATTTTGTCTTCTTTTTTAATTATATGAGACACGCAGCTATTCCATTTTTCAGGTGTGATATGTTGAAGTCCTTCTTCAAAAAGTTTTTTTACTTCTGTCATTTTGAAGGTTTTGTTATTTCTTGCAACATATCCTTTAGCCTGCGCCCATACCAACTCAATGGGATTGAGCTCACAGTGGTATGGGGACAGACGTAAAACAATTATCCCATGCTGCGCTGCCATCTCGTCCACAACATACTTATCGCAATGTTCTTGCTTGTGCTGCCGTACAATGTCTATAAGAGTAGCTTTAACCATTGTTGCTTCGAATGAAATATTTTTGCTCGTTAGCCACTCTAGTATTCTAGGTTTAGTCCAAGACATTTTAGGCAGCGATTCTAGTTTCCTGGAGTGGTAGGGGGCATTATCCATCACTACTACGGAATTTGGTTTTAGTTTTGGCAAGACCCCCCTAAACCACTTCTCAAAGGAATCGGCATTCATCTCTTGATGATAATCTTCTTTATTTTTTTTGGCTTCAAATATTAATAAGCTGTCTTCTACGAATCCTTCTTCCCCGCCTATATGGCCGATAATTAATCGTTTGCCCTTTCCTGAAGGCTGTTTTAAGCCAGTGGTCAAGCCATCTAGGAAGGCCTGGCGGGACGATAACACTGTCTGGTCAATCCATGCCTTCTTCGGTGCATGACCTTCAAGATAGTGAAAAATATCAATTAATTATTGAAAGTACAATTTAATGTAAAGAAAACAGAAAATTGTAATTACCTTCGTTGATCCAGGTTTCATCTTGGTAATAAATATACCTTCCTTCCCTTCGATACTCTTTAATTTTTCGAAGGTATCGCTGGCGCCATAGAATAATGTCCTGTCTGTTAATTAAAATGCTGTGTCTTGATTTTGTGACATATTTGAAATTTAAATGTTTCATAACATTTCTTAATGTACTCCAAGAAAAATTGGGTAAGTCTGGGTCTTCATTGACAACCTTAAGAATCTGTAAAGTAATAAAAATATGTTTTGAGTAAGGAAGTCTACGCAATCTAATACTTTGGGTTTACAAAGAACATTATGGTGGACACAGAATATAATGCAGTAGAAGGAATAAAGTTTAAGTTACCTTTATAATGGTGGGTGACTCATTTGCATAAAAAAAATTATGTACTTTTCGCCTTATAGCGGCAAAAGTAAAATCGTCTAATTTATCTTTGAAACTGTGTTTCGGTCCACGTTTCTCGGGAGACTTAAATTGTTCATTTTCTTTGCATTCTTTTAACACACTGTAAACTGAGGTCACACCAATTCCCAAAATGTCAGCTGTTTTCGAAACACATTCTTTTTTTTCGGGGGCCTCAATAGGTAATAGTGAAGCAGCTTTTTCCTCAAATACGTGTTTGTAGACGTTTTGTATCATAAGTTTTTCGGTAACGCTTAAAGCAATCCGTGGTCTCTTCTTTCTTGGAGACAAGCTTTGGCTTGACGTGCTTGGTTGAGGATCCATATCATTTGTACGAAACAATATAGCAACAAATAAACACAACAATTACCACAAACACAACGTAACGAAAAACTTAACAAAAACAATAACTAAACAGCGTGAGCGCAGAAAAAACATTCGTGCTATCAGACCAGAGGTTAGAAGCCGAATAACAAACAAAATGGCGACCGACGCGCGCGGCGTTGATCGGTGTTGGCAGTAGTCGCCGCGCCGCGCTTTGTAATAAAACCTCAAAAAACTGATTGTAGTTACATACTACTAGTAACTTATATCAGAGCACTTTTATACAATTTTATTGTAAAATAGAAATAATATTCTTTTATAGTTTGAAATGATTAACTATACACACTCATTGTTCATTCATCTGATTGAACGAGAACTGAACGCATCACTATTACTTTAAATATGGCAACATTATTTTACAAAGTGACATTAGCTACTGTCAGTTGGCTTCGTCTAATTAAAAATACGACTTTAGTCAATCCTCTATCTACGGCATGAAAGTACGCCAAGCTACTCTACCAACATTAAGATATGACATTTAGTTTTGACAAACAGTGTTGACAACATTGACGAATTACAATAGTGCTATAAATATCTATCCTGGAATAATTTTAGCGATAGAACCTTTATCGATATATTGTTTATCGATATTTTTACATAATAAATGTTAGATCTCTATACTGAATTATTTATGAGAAATAAATTTTTTAACGTGGGGATTGAGTAAAAATGCCGATGTGGATAAGAAATCAATGTATTTAACACATAGCAATTTGTAATTACATTTCTACAATTAGGTACAAAAATATTATGTATAAAGAAAATATAAAATATAAAACGCACTCTTATACTAGTAATTAATTAAGTAAAAAATTTATGACGACTACGTAGCGCAGTGGCTAAGCGTTTGCCTGCGTCATAGTAGGACCGAGCCTTCGTTCCCGCACTGAACAAGTGCTGCTATGCTGTAAAATAAATAGTTTGCGTCTGGACGCTTGTTTTCTACTTTTGTTTTTTTAAAGGGTAAAAATATTAGGTTTTCACACTGATTAAATTAAATATCTTTTAAGTGTAACAAATACTATGTACAGATCGCTAGGCTTCTTCACAGAGGTACCTATGTTCATCCTATTCGCAGAGATCATTTACTAATTGTCGCTTTCAAAATGAGTGAGCACTCATTTTGAAAGCGACAATTAGTATATTTATAGTTAATATTTGTAGATGAATCTATAAAAAAATATTTATAACCAGGTAATTACAAATCACTTTGAGTTTATTTATGTAATCGAATTCTTACCAAAATATGACTTTAAAGGGATATTATCTTTTGCTACATATAAATGAAACCTAATTAACATACACATAATTGTGGCAGTTTATATTAAGTCCACTGATGAAATACGAGGTCGTTTTAGTTGGGTTCAAATGCAATGTTTGCCAAAAATATATTTTAACATGTGAATCTTTTCAATTAGTGCATGTGCCAGCTATTTCACTCATTGCTTGCATCTGAAAAAATAATATAAATAAAATCACATTTTTATTGAACAAATAGAATGTTAGCAGTCACAATTGACTGTGTAGTTTCTAAGTATAGTTCGTTTCGGATTGTCATACCATCGAACTATCAGATTTAGGAAATAGTGTGTTTGTATTGTGCACACAATCGTATACTATAAAAACCTGTCCTACATAAATGGCTAGTCCAAAAATATACTTGTGCTAAATATCATATTACTATTAAAGTTTAAATTACCACATAACTTTCATCATTTAAGGGAACAACTGAAAGTGTTTTTGGGTGATCAAGTATTTCTGGGCAGTTTTAAACAATTCTGAAATAAAACAGTATAAAATTATAATCATATCTTAATTGACACTTGACAGAGAGTATAGACAGTAGAATAATGTGACACTAGTCTTAAGTCCTTGTCGCACACACAGCTTTCACAGTAATATTGCATACGTTTTTCCATGTTTTACGCGTTTTAGGTTATAATAGTTTTTATTTATGTATTCGATAACGGTGCATTACCTTTTAATGTGAGTGGTATTATTATAATTGGGGACCAAACCTCCTCACCTTATTCCCCCAAATTCCTGCCAAACGATTCTAAATCCAACCCTAGATAAATATACGGACATATTTTCATAAATTATAAAACTGTAGTACATTAAAGACAAAAAAATCTTGAGTTTATCCTCTTTAACCCATTATGAACTAAGTATCTACTTATCACCCAAAATAAATGTATAACCTTACTCAACCAACCGCACAGCCTCACGGTAATACTAGTACAATATTCATAGCATCACGCCATTTTCCCCAAGGGGTTGAGCGGAGCTTCGGAACTTCGGATTATATTCCTGTTGCGCGCCACTATTAATGTCTTGTACATGGCAACACTAGTTACCACTAGCGCCCTCTAGTATCGAGTAGCAGAACTAGACACTCGCTATCTCGTTGCCGTTTTTCCACAACTTTGGCCAGGTACCTTTCCAATGTCTGATTAAATCGTTCTACCATTCCATCAGATTGTGGGTGGTAAGAAGTTGTTCGTGTTTTATGAGTACCCATAACTCTGCAAGTTTCCTGGAATATTTGAGACTTGAAATTCCTTCCTTGATCGCTGTGAATCTCTAAAGGTACTCCAAAACGACAGAAGACTTCATGAACTAGTTTATCTGCAACTGTTGAAGCTTCTTGATTTGGAATGGCGAAGACTTCTGGCCACTTAGTGAAGTAATCCATCACAACCATGAAATACTTGTTACCACTTTCAGTTTCTGGAAACGGCCCCGCAACGTCAATGGCTATCCTCTCCCATGGTGCACAAACATTGTACAATTTCAATGCGCCACTACTACGAATTTGAGGTCCCTTTACAGCCGCACAACTTGTACATTTGCGGCACCAGTCCTCGACATCGTCACGACAGTGGACCCTGTAAAACCGTTCTCGGATCTTCAGGAGAGGTCGTTTAACTCCCAGGTGGCCTCCTGAACAACCACTATGGTACAGCTGTAGAACATCCGGCACTTTAGCCTTAGGGACAACCATTTGTAAATGACACCTGTCTCCCCGACCATTTTCCCATTTACGGCACAGGACTCCATCCTGAATCAGCAAGCTGTCCCATTGGGCCCAATAGCTTTTCGTGGTCGAACTCATTGCTGAGACGTCGCTCCACTTGGGCTTAGGAGCACTGGCCTTCATCCATTCCAGAATCGGCTTAATGTCCGAATCTTCCTACTGTGCATGTTGTAGGCTGTCCTTCCATTCATTGCTGAGCTGGTCTGTCCTGAATATCCTCGCAGATACCACTTCTTTACCCTCTTGCCTAGTACAATGCTTGCAATCTTCAGGGCAAGGTCTTCCTGATAATGCATCTGCATTGCCATGAGATTTCCCGCTGCGATGTTCGATCACAAAGTCGTATTCCTGTAGTAGTTCAATCCATCTCGAATCTTGTCCTTCCGGATTTTTGAACTGCAATAGCCATTTCAGTGCAGCATGGTCAGTTCGTAAGTAGAATTTCCGCCCCAGGAGATATTTGCTAAAATGCTGCAAGGACTTTACCACAGCAAGCAATTCCCGTCTTGTGACACAATTGTTCCTTTCCGGCTTTGACAATGACTTGCTGAAGTACGCTATCACAATCTCTTGATCACCATTCCGTTGAGACAACACACCGCCAAGTCCTATATCACTTGCGTCTGTGTCAACTATGAATTCCTTGCCCGCATCAGGGTACCCCAAAATAGGTGTTTTGCACAGACGGTTCTTGAGCTCCTGGAATGCAATATCGCAACTTTCATCCCAGCAGAAATGTCGCTTCTCCTCGGTTAGCTTGTGCAGAGGTTTGGCTATATCTGCAAAGTTCTTCACAAATCGCCGACAATAAGAGCACAAACCCAAAAATGCTCTAACCTGTCTCTTGTCTTTTGGAACCGGCCACTCCTTGACAGCGGCAATTTTTTCTGGATACGTGCGGATACCTTCTTCCGACACTACATACCCCAAAAAACTAACTTGCCGTTTGAATAGTGAGCACTTCTTTGCACTCAACTTGAGGTTGTCACTCTGGATCTTCATGAGCACGCGTTCCAGATTTTGAAGGTGTTCCTCAAACGTACGCCCTACAATGATGATGTCATCCAAATAGACCAGACAGGCATCTCCAATTAGCCCGGTAAGTACAACCTTTCAAACGTTGCTGGAGCATTGCACAATCCAAACGGCATGACTTTAAATTGCCACAGACCCTTTCCTGTGGAGAATGCAGTTTTCTCCTTGTCCTTAGGGTCAATTTCAACCTGCCAGTAGCCACTTTTCAGGTCCAGCGTACTAAACCACTTTACGCCTGTAAGCATGTCCAGCGTGTCATCAATTCTTGGCAAGGGATAGCTGTCCTTCTTCATAACGTCGTTCAGGCGGCGGTAGTCAACACAAAACCGCATGCTACCTTCCTTCTTCTTTACCAGCACCACAGGTGAACACCATGGACTAGATGAAGGTTCAATAATACCATCCTTCACCATTCCCTCAAGCATGGTTTCCACTTGCTTTTCACGTGCTACAGGCAATCTTCTTGGCCGCTGACGAATAGGCAATTCTTGTCCTGTATTTATTTTGTGTTGAACTAAGCCAGTCTTTCCTATGTCAGCTTCGTTTGACGAGAAAACATTGGCGTACTTGAGTAACAACTTCTTCGCTTTGACCGTTTCATTCGGGGAGAGAACGCTGCGACAGTCTTCTAAAAGTGTGGTCACTCTAGTTTGTCCATCCTTGCTGTGGGTCCCAGTCGATAGATATTGGCACTGACGCAACCAATCCACTTCCTCACTAGTACCAACCAATGTGCCTTTTTCTATAATCTGTTCCTGATCACAAAGGTTCAGCACACGTACTCCTGAGATGTTGGCGGTTCTGACCAAGGTTCGAGCCACTTTCCATGGAAGGTCATTGTCTACCCTTTCCACGAGTACACAACGAAGAGTTTGCCCAGGATTCCGTGGAAGTCTAACCGGCACAATCGTTTCCGATCTCGGCGGAAGAACAATCTTCTTAAGGCTGTACACATTCCCTGGTAACGCCCTTTCCACGAAAAGTTCCTCTTGTCCACATTTCAAAACACCTTGCTTAACGTCGATCTCACAACAATTCTTCCTCATAAAGCTAGGCCCAGGATGCAGTCGTCCATTATATCAGCCACGATGACGTTATGCAGGTAGATCATGTTGCCTAGCTTCAACTCCATCTCCTTCTCTCCACGGACGGGTATGCGCTGACCGGTGGCTGTCACCAAATTAATGCGTTCTCGGTTGTATGCGGATTCCCCAAGGAACCGACTTATAAGTTGGGAACTGACAACCGTGCGAGAGGCTCCAGTGTCTATGGTCAGTTTACACGGCGTTCCGTTGACTTCGCCCTTGATGATTAGGCTGTTCCCATCATGGGTTTGTGAGATCGAAATTCTTGGGGCTCTTTTAACATCAGCCAGCACCCGCCCCGCAGGCCTGGCTTTTACTCGTTTCCCTGCTGCTGCTGGGCGGTGCTATTATCCGCACTACCCTCTCGAGATCGATCACCTTCCCTTTCTACCGTTCGTTTAGGGCAGCTGGATCGAAGGTGGCCCCTTTCCCCACAGCCGTAGCACCTAGGGTTGTAGCCCTTATTGCGGTGCTGAACTGTAGCTGCTGCAACCTCCCTGACGCGGTGGGAACGATGAACCTGCCGCACGGCTTCCACCGCCAGTGTATGGGTCAAGGCGTCCTTAAGCGTCTCGTGGTGCCCGAGCCTCACAGCAGCTCTGACTTCAAGGTCGCGGATGCCGTCGATGAATGTCTGCACCAGGTTCCTTACAATGAGCGCAGGTAAAGACTGGTACGCTTTTCGAACCAGCTTCTCCACCTCAAGGGTCCACTGCTGCAGGTTTTAGTTACTGCGTTGCACGCGATCTTTGAGCTGCGCACGAAAGACGTGTTTCAGGTGAGCATCGCCATATATCGCCTCCAATGCCTCAAGGAACTGCTCGTAAGTCACTTCTTTACCGAGCGCTTCCAGAACAGTTAAGGCCTGGTCGCGTAGGCCTAGGGTGAGAGCAGTCATGGCCTGACTTTTATTCCAGCCGTTCGCTTTCATGACAGCCTCGAACTGGATTTTGTAGGCCGACCAGGAAGAACTCCCGTCGAACGGCGGCACTTTGAATCCACGTAGCGAAGGTGTTGTAGCTACCACGGGAGCTGTAATTCCATCCCCAAGTTTGAGGTCGTCCAGCGTTTTCTTCACATCAGCCATCACGTTGTCAAACCGATTGTTCACTTGGTCGATTCGGGTTTGAGCTTCCGACAGGCGGTTGTCATGTTGAGCAACCCTATCCTTCACCTCCTTTATCTCTTTCCCGAAGGTAGCGTGAAGGTCCTTCCTGAGGAGCATCTGTTCTTCCATACCGCGCTGCAGCTGCTCTTCCAACCGACGGGTCTGTTCCTCCTGTCGGCGGGCCTGTTCCTCCTGTCGGCGAGCCTGATCCTGCAGCATCATCATCAGAGCACCTAAGTCAGGTGCTGCAGATGCAGGAGCTGCTGACGGGCCGGCCTCCGTGGTTAGCAGCTGGCCCTCCGACGTTTGCGGCGTTGCATTACCAAATCGTCTCTGGTCCGTCTCCTGTTGGCGTTGACTTCGGGTACGGATACCCTCCGTGTCGTCTTTAGGTAAAATCGGCATATATGATCCCACTTCTGACACCAATTGTTACGAGCTTGAGGTTCGAGACAATTAAAAACTGCCGATTGAATTACCAAATTTGACACTTTAATTACTGATACTAATTATAACTTAAAACACACTAATAATAAAACACAATAATTCTACTGATCACTTAAGTTCGCAGTTGTTTCGCTTTGAAGTATTCTCTTGTATCACCAATTCAATACTGCCTCGGTCGTGGTCTATACCGGCCTTATTTAGGGCCACAGATAGTTTCCAGGATCTTCTACTGTAGCGACATCTAGAATGTTCGAGTACATATCGGTCCCGAAATTTCGCGACCCCCACCCCAGCCTGTAAAATAATGATATTTGTTATAAAAAAAATACTAGTCAACGTATTTTAATAGCACATTACGATTATATTTGTATTTGTAATTGCACACTCTCCAATTTTTTATAAAAAATCAAAAAGTAAATTATGGTTTTTACTAGTACTGCAATATCGATATCTCCGTAAATAAAGTTTTTTTCTAATTGCACAGAGTGCCAATAAATTGCACATATCTCGATTGTAATTGCACAATAACGTATTGTTATTGCACATACTTATTTAGTTACAAAAATTAATAATTAAGTAAAACTGACGGTCGCCGCCAATATGCGCTATACGCAGCAGACGAAGGGCATAGTGCATACCATCAATGAAAACGGGCCATAAGTCGTTCTGCTTTTTAACCACAACACAACACGTTTCAATCCATTTCAGAATATTTGATTTTAAGGAAATGAAAAGCAGTATGTATTATTTTTTGTTATTTCATATTTATTATAATAACAAGTATACTTATGCCAGGCTTTTTTTCAGTTATTTGCAGATGGTGCTGTCTAGAAGTCTTCTCAAATTTTTTCAATTGATTGCGGTGCAAAAGGTTAATCCTGACACATACAGCTTTGAAGAGGTGTCGTTTCATGGTCCTATCTCGATCCAAAGGAAGTTTGATCAACATATCTCTGATGATTGCATGTGTAGGACAACAAGCCATCAGTGGTTTGAGAAATTTGAGAAGACTTCTAGACAGCACCATCTACAAATAACTGAAAAAAAGCCTGGCATAAGTATACTTGTTATTATAATAAATGTGAAATAACAAAAAATAATACATACTGCTTTTCATTTCCTTAAAATCAAATATTCTGAAATGGATTGAAACGTGTTGTGTTGTGGTTAAAAAGCAGAACGACTTATGGCCCGTTTTCATTGATGGTATGCACTATGCCCGTCGTCCTCTGCGTATAGCGCATATTGGCGGCGACCGTCAGTTTTACTTTATTATTAATTTTTGTAACTAAATAAGTATGTGCAATAACAATACGTTATTGTGCAATTACAATCGAGATATGTGCAATTTATTGGCACTCTGTGCAATTAGAAAAAGACTTTATTTACGGAAATATCGATATTGCAGTACTAGTAAAAACCATAATTTACTTTTTGATTTTTTATAA